TTTTTATTGTTTCGTAAAATTAATATTTATTATTCGAGATGAATAAATTTAATACTTTATATATTTCAGCGTGAAAGTTAAACAAGTTATAGTGTGAACGATAATTTGATGGGTGATATTCGTTCTAAGGACTTTCCTCTTGATAATTTCTTGTTCAATAAATCAAGTAGCAATAAAACATGGAATTCAAGCCTAAATATGTATCTTTTTATATTTAACAGTTTTTCTTGATTTGTAATTGGTTTGATTTTTATACAAGTTTTCTTAATTTAATTTTATGTTGATTATTAATTAAAATTAGTAATTAAGTCTAATACTAATAAACGATTTATATGAAGACATCATTTTAGTACTTAAATACTCATAATAAACATCACTGCAAGTATATAATTAATGCATCGTATGTGTTTCACTGTAGTAAATGCTGATTATAACTAATCACCATGCTCATTTACATATATGTTACGTCCATATTTGGAACGGGCATTTGTATTCGACGTGCGATTATCGAGAAAACTTAAATTCGAACAATTAATTACGACGTCATCATCTTCGTGCTATTTGCTACAAGTTCAAAATCATTACATGCTTTATCGTAACATGAAAACGACATTCTCTCAGATGACATTCGACCTGTGACTTTCCCGAACAAACAAAAAATTGATGTGATTTTCTTCTCTTTTTTTTCACAAACTGACGTACCCATTTATTCGCACCGCTTATTGAATTTTCCAGCAATTTATTCAAACGTGAGAATGGAAGACTTTCTTTCGGAATTATGTATATTAAACGTGAAGACAATGGGCATGTTTGAAAGTAGGATAACATCGTGTGGAAACAGGACGAATTGTGTCTCCTTTTTTTCATCTGGTTCGGATGTTTATTTTCTTCGCTCTGTTCTTATGCCATAAACCGGTATTTGATGATTAGTTAGATGACAGGCGCCTCCTTCGATGTTTATTATTTCTTTGGACGATGGATGCTAATGATTCGCGACGTAAATGTATAATGCCATTATGGTTTTATGAGGAACTTTCATTGCCGCAACTTCACCACGAGGAAATCAAGCGTTGCGAACGTTTTCATCATTTTAACCATTCATCGTGAAATTGAGTTCGTTTAATTTTTGTTCTACTCTTTATTTCTGCGCTTCGCTTAATCATTTTATTTTGTAATGTATAGCTTTATTTTATGAAATGACTAAGTGTACTTTATTCACCTATTATCTTAATATAAATTGAAATAATTCATTTTGGTCCAATTCAAATTAAAAAATATTATATTTTAGACATTTACTTAAATTTTATAATTTTAATTTATTAAATTTAAAAACTTTGGACACAATCACCAATACACCCTAGTATGTCCCCAATAGTGTCATACATAGTGATTTGAAAATGGATTCACACCCAAATAATCTAGCGGACAATCTACTAGTAAATCCACCACAAACATACATACTTAAAAAGTGCAAAATTCTAGACCTACCACATAGATTTAATTACATGACATTATATTCATTTACACATATGGATACTTAAGTTCCCCATCTTCATTATATTTGTAGCGCTAAAAAATTACTGTTATTTTAGTAGAAGTTAAAAAAAAACAATTGCTAAATTAAGTAATTAATATTGTTTTATCGTGAATTATTTTGTGACAATTTAATTTGTTGATGTTATAAAAGTAATTTACCTTTGAACGTATAAACTTTAAATCTTATTGTAGACTATTGAAAACCAATCGCACAGAAAATACAACATTATTGAATGTAAAATATATATAGAATTAATAATGTATACACTTTATACATTTCGGTGTTAAAGAATTTATGAATAAATACTATTATGGATGATATTAATTGTTAATTAAGAGCATATTCAAAGTGTCATAAAAGAAGCGTTGCCACTAGAAATCATTTGAATATAAAACGTCCAAATTTAGAATATTCAATTTTTTTATAAAAGTACAGAAAATACTATATTATTGAATGAAACTATATAAAGAAAAAATAAATTTTTAAAACTTTCTGTATTAAATTAAGTTTTTAGCATTCAACTTATAGCCCGAGATGTTGGCGGTTGTGAATGAACAATAAAAGTTAAAAAAAAAATAAATAAATAAGTTTTTATTCGGAAAATTGATATTCATGATTAGATGTAAATAATAGTAATATTTTAAACACTTTATACAATTCTGTGTCAAAGTTAAACAAGTTATGTTGTGAACAAATAATATGGATTATAGTAATTGCAAATTAAGGGCAAAAATTATGTTATAAAAATCTATTTCATTTGATATTTTCGCTTCTAAAAGTTCAATTTTATTATTGAATATTCAAAGTTTTAAAATTGTACCATATTATTGAATGATAGAAATAGAGCTAATAATGTTTCTGAAAATTGATATTCGTATAAATAAAACTATATACGTTTCTGTGTCAAAGTTAATCAAGTTTTGTTGTGGCCAATAATTTTACGGATGATAATGTGTCACAAAAAAGGATATTTAATATTACATTTGTTCTTTGAAACATTTTCTGCGTCGCAGTATTTGTTATTATAGATTTTGTATGTTAAAAAATAATAAATATAATATTGCAAAGATTAAAATTATTTGCATGCAACTGTTTGCAGAGATTTACATGTAAATAAGATGCTCGAAACCGCACCTTCGTAACGAAACAAAAAATAGAGCAATAACAACGTTGTCAAAGATAATGACTTAGCTTTATATACGATCGTCTACATTTCAATTGAAAGAAAGTATCAGCAGGACGCGAGCAAATGAACTAAACGGAAGTGTTTAATTTACAGTTCGTGATACAACCATATCAATCTGAACACGTGTAAATGTGCTATTGACATAAACGTAGCATGTTTAAATTGAATCATTAATTGAGTTGCTATATAAATGTACAGTTTGATAATTAACCAATTATACATTCTGAAATTTGTTAATTAATTTTAAGTGGATATTAAAAACTTTTAGATTAAAGTTTCTTAAATTTAAATTAAAATCTTACAATTTTTCAACTTTTTAATTTTCTCAAGTATTTTAAACTTTCTGATGCAAACAAGTTAAAGAAAAAAAAGGTAATTCATAATACATTTTTTTTTTAAAGATAACTAATACAGAAATACCTCGTATAATGCGGTTTCGATTAGTTCATATATTATTATCATTTAATAAATTTAAAATAAAATCTTATAATTTTTCAACTTTTTAATTTTCTCTAGTATTTTAAACTTTGTGAAGCAAAAAATTAAAGATTCTTCGAAAAAAATGAAAATCATAAGAAACATTTTTTTTAACGACAACAAATACAGTAATACCTCGCATAGTGCGGTTTCGATTAGTTCGTGTATTATTTGACAAAATGGATTCCAAAACATATTTTTTTTAATTAAATAATCTTTTATTAAATTGTTGAAAAGAAAAGCTCGTTTTCACGTTCTTAATTTGTTTTCCTTCTAATGGTATTTTGATGCAACCTCTAAGATTTGAGATAGTTTAACCGTTCTCAATTAAGAAAAAATAAATCACAAGACTTTTGATTTATAGCCGGCTTTCATGAGGTACGGTAAAAATGCTGATCTTTAAAGACCCGCGTGTGATAATCCATCACTTGTCTTGCTCTTACTGCATCACTAGGAGAGTACAATAATTGTATGTTTTAAGTGCAACACAAGTCGCTTTTGCGGTACATTCTGTGTGGTAAAAATAAATTATGTGTCAATCACGTGTTGAAACAAAAGGTTCTTATGATGATGAATTGGAGTATGCTAATGGTCATGTGAAAACGTTTCATGTGGTGGCCCCGCTTATTAGGCTGACACTTGTTAGAAAATTAGTTAATTACAATCGAGAACATTCTGATTAATTAGATACAAATGTATTTTCAATTAGCATTAGAAAATGGGTCATTGCATTTTTTGATAAAGTAAATCATTAATTCGTTTCATTCATTAGGAGGAACTAATAATGATTATAATTAAATATTAATTTATATTTGAAAGTTTACTATGGCAAAAAAACAGTTTTATTTCTATTATTGTGATAATGATAATATAGAACTGTGTTTCTTAACCTATGAATCGCGTTAAATGTTGCAATGTGACAGCTGTCATTTTACAACCCATTAGCCAAATGACAGTTGTGTGTCATAGTAAAACGACAAACAAAAAAAGTAAATAGAAATAATAATAATAATATATATACATTAATTTGTTTCATTCATTAGGAGGAACTAATAATGATTATAATTAAATATAAATTTTTATTTGAAAGTGTATTATGGCAAAAAAACAGTTTTATTTGTATTATAGTTATGATAATGTAGAACTGCGTTTCTTAATCTACGAATCGCATTAAATGACGCAAGATGACAGCTGTCATTTTGCAACCATTGGCAGCTGTCACTTTGTATCAAAAATTGTATGTTATAAACTATTGTGTCGCAGTACAATTACAAACAATAAATGATTAAAAGATTGATGAATTAAATATAACAATAAGCTTCTCTGTTTAAGATTATTTACTATTTTTAAAGTCGTGATCACGTGTAATTAGAAAAACATATTTAAAAAAAAATGAAAAATTCTTTATAGTAAGCAACTGTCGTTTTTTATCAATATTAATTAACATAATTATAAAACATTACAAAATTAAGACTTTAAATTGACAATAAATATTGTCTATCTATAAATCTATTTTGCTTAGTTGAAAGAATACTTCCATCTAAAAAACGTTACTACAATTACATCAACCGATTTACACAACAATTGTTACTTATCTAGCTTTCCAAATATGATGGATAGTATCCATAAATCAAGGTTTTCTTTAGCAAATTCCGTGCTGAGGCAATTATTATATAAATCTTCATTATATTGTTACACATTTTTTCATGCCTTGTTCAAAAAATGAATGATGGAGTGGAAATTATATCACAAAATACTAACATGTTTGTAAAATTATAAAAAATCTTTTTATATTTTCAGAGTAAAAAAGGAAGCCATTCAACACAGACAAGGAAATGAGGCTGCTGTACAGTCTCCTCTTCGCCAGCTTTTATATCCAAGGGGTATGTATTTCACTGTATTTATTATTAAATATAATTAAATCTAACTACAAATCTTGTTATAATGTATACAAAATAGAATAAATATTGGTTAATACAGTAGAAAATATACATTGAATAATAAATGATACATTACAATACCTCGAATAAAGCGGATAATCATTTGCATTTATTAGCACTATTCGAAAGCAGACTAATTGCATAAAAATAAACAGCACAAAATATAATTCCACTGTATAAAGGAAAAAATAGTATACTTAATATGCGCCTTCGAACAGCCACACTATGCGAGGTATTACTGTATTAGATTTTTTCACATTACGTTTAATTGGTTCGTTAGTTCTTTCAACTAAGACCACCCTGTCATTATCGAAAATAAAAAAAAAGAAAATAGAGTAGATTAGATTAGAGGTACAAGACACCTTTCCAAGAATTTGATTACTCAAAACTAGTCCTATTTCTTCAATAAACCAGTTCATCTAAAAGCACTCAACGTATTATTTTGTTTGTATTTAAAAAATAAATGTGGGTGTATATTAAACATGAGACACTTCTTACAAATGTGTTTGAATCAAATAAATCTCGTTACAGTTCACTCTTATTATCGTTCTTTAATTAGTTTTGTTGTTGTTGTTGTTGTAATGATGTCTTCGTCCGGAAATTACCGTGTTTACTATTTGGGTTGAGCAGTGAACACTATTACTATTTGCAATACGCACTGTTGCTCGGCTCATGCAAATAATAACAGTAAAAAGAAAGGTGTACACACTCGGTTTTCATAACTCGGCCGAATCACAATTTTAACCATTCTACGAATTGGGTTAATTGCTCTAGGATTGGTTATACATCGTATATTACCGATGTAAAACTATGATTTGGTATTGCTATATAATTAACGCCGATATAATACTTATGAAAAAGTAATGCATGAATGTTTAATAAAAAAAGTTTCATTGTTATTTTTGTGTTCTATAATTTCGAATTTAATGAAGTTGAAGAAAGTTTTCTAATACAATTATTTAGTTAATTAATTTACCTATAAAGTTACCTATCGAATACTATAACATACTAATTTAACCTCAACTAACTTAAATTAGTTAACATTTCAACAGTATTTATGAGGTTGTAATTATACAACAAGAATTATGTGATTTACACTATGACTTTGAAAGTTCGTATTAAAAAAAATAATAAATGGCAGAAAATATGACATGTGTCAACGCGAATTATCATTTTATTAAAAATTACATATATTTAAGATATATCGAAAGAATTATGTCATTTATGGAATAAAGCTAAATCTACTTATCATATGAATTCTATGTTTGATTTAAAAAAATATAATAAAAAATGATTGTTGATTTGAAAAATGTCAAATTTTGTCATTGCAAGGTGTTATTTTATTGAAACTGGATTTTGTGTGTAGTCACAGTGTAATTTGCATACGTTACAAAACTTTAAAGATAAATTTAAAAGTAACTCTAAATTTTGTTATCATATGGATTATCTGTTTTAAAAATTCTATATAAAAAATAATAATAGAAAAATAATAGTCTTTGATTAGTAAAATTCCAATTTGTAACAACAAGAAATATTTCTTAATTAAAAGTGGATTTAGTATGGAAAAATAAACTAAAAACCATATTTTTGATGACAAATTTAAGAATTAGTTATTTCACACAATAACAATATAAAATATAGAAAAAAAAATGCAAAATTCCTATATTTGTCAATGTAAACTGTCATTTTATTAAAAAGGGATTTAGTGTATATAAATTTGTATGTGTTACATAATTTCGAAGATGAACTTCATTGTAGTCATTCTTAAAAGAAAATAGGTCAAAATCCGGTATTTGATACCGATATGGTCAAGGTTTTCTGAATAACCTTGTTAAGGAGAATTTCATTTTCGACCGACTGACAGACATCACTTAAGCCTGGATTACACGGAGGCTCGTTCTGCTTGAAATATACGGGTTTTTCAACCAATCTGTGTCTGATATACTTTATTTGTTACCTCTTGGAAATTCATACCATCTGCTTCAAGTATTTTATAACAGCGATCTGTTATTGTTTTATAACACCACATTACAGAATTAATGTATGCCATACATTAAATTAATCGCATTTTATTATTTTAAAATATTTGATTTTGTAAGCGTGCAATTGATATAGTTAGTGTTCCACTATAATTGTGTTTTTTTTTTAAATAATTGATGTTTACTTTGTATGCTGTAAACGTTTTTGAATTCAACTGGTGCAAAGAACATTGTGTTATTATTGGATCGAAAGGTGAAGAAAACACGAAACGAAGACAAAGGAAATGCGTTTGTGCTGCAAATGCGTTCCTTCAGTCGCGTTCAAATTACGTAACGAGAAGCGATCGAATGGCGAGAATTGAGGATAGTAGCAGGATGTGTCGTGAACAGTTTGATTGACTCATTGCTGCTGGGTCGCGACACGAAGCCGATTCCATTACCAGAAGACCATATGTTTTCCACCATTTATATAAAAAAAAGTGTATATCTGAAAGAAGAACGATGGAAGATAAAAATAAAGAAACAGGAACAAAAGAAAAAAGTGTATCGGTTGGGTTTGTTTTCTTGTCTGTCGCTTTGGCTTAAAAATTCGACGATGCAAATAATAAACTGTCTCTTTGAGTGTCAGCTTTCTATTTACTAAAGGAATTTGCAGGATTCGTGTAAATTCGTGTTTTTTTTCGTATACTTAAAGAACTGAAAAAAATGTATAATATTAGTTCACATCTACATTTAAACTGTATAGTATTTTTCACGTTTTGTAATAACAGAAACGAAATATATTAGGATCTCTATTATCCCGCCTTTGGTCATGCCTTGATCCCATTATCCGGCGATTTGTTTCAATTTATGTTCCTATTGTGCCGCAATCGAAACCGAAGATAAATAACTTCGATCGGCGATAAATGTGTTATTATTATCATCGGCGATGCCGGCAATTTCCGGATTTGGTCAATTTAACAATGGATAAATCCGGATCATTAATATATTGATAAGGTCTGCAAAATAATGTTCACCTTTTGTTTTGTTTGTTGGCCTTTAGAAAACTGTATACATTATCTACTTATACCATTATTAGTCCTTTGTTATAATAATTAATGGTGATTGTATTTTATGTATCTAATATGGTATTTAAATATGACTACAGCTGTTTTCATAACCCAACTTCAATAAATACCTAGGTAATATATGTACACTATAGTCCGGTTAGAAAATTTCAAAACAAACTATATTTTAATTCAGTAAAATAAAAATAAATTCTCAAAAATTAGTACACTAAATTAATTGTACATACTATTTTTGCATGTGTTTAGTTCCTCGATTAGTCCGGTTTTATACAGTTGACTGAACCGATTATCCGTAACTATTTTATATTATTGATAGAAATAATCTATTTGTTTATTTTTAAGATCTTTGATATTTCTGTCCAAGTTTTCAATTTCTATTTTATTTGGAATTTTTTTTTATTAAAGTAATAAAGTATACATATTTAGTATTTTGCGATCAATTCAGGTAAAATCTGATTAAAAAAAAATACTTTGTATAAACAAAGTTCATGTAATTATAAATTTTATTGATTAATAAAATGTTTGAGAATGTAGTATGTATGAGATGTTTACGACTTAAACCTCGTACTCTTGATGCAAAGTTTAATAACCATGTCAATGTTACTACTGCTAGCCTCAATACTCACGTGTGAATGAAAGACAGAATGAACCTAATTGAGTACAGGATCGGTACTGAGCAGTATGTGGAGCGGTTTAAATTAAACGGTACGCGAAACTGACATCATTATATCTTTGACTTGTGATTTATGTTTTCATAATAAATGAATTCTATACAGAGAAATTTGTTTATTTCTTATTTTACATTAATTTCATGATAACAATAACGTTTATTGTAGCAGCAAAAAAACATAGATCTTTTCACCATTAGTTTATTTTTATTTCAAAAATATAAATCAATATTCAACTATAAATAATCTTTTATTGTGTTTCTACGTATATCCGCATAAATTTGCAATAAATTAACTATAATTTAGATTTTACTAAAGCAAATATTATCAATTTTCATAGTTATAATTTTTATGTTAGAAGTGAGTTGGGACATCATTATGTGATGGCAGTACTTAACATTTTGATAATTGTCAAAAAAAAACCATTTAAATTACTCATATTATTTGGATAGGTAACTAGTGTCACTTGTTTATAATACTAAATACCTAAATTTATTTAAAATATAAAATTAACTATATTATCAAAAAATAAGTAATGTTGAACATAATTAGAATAAAAATAAAGGACGTAAACTGTCAATTAAATGACAAATTATATAGGCCAGAGGTTCCAAAACGGGGCGCTGTGTCTTTACTACAAGGGCGCCGTAAAAGTTTAGGAACTCCTGATATAACGAATTGATCAAATGGAAAAAAAAAATATGACTGAAATAATTGACTTATATTTAACATATAAAAAGTAAAGAGATAATAATATTGTTTAAGTTGTTTCATTGCATAGTGCGGCGTCGATCAGTCCGGATTATAGCCTGGTTTGAAAATTGCTAAACAAACTAAACATTACTAGAATGAAACAAAAATAAATTTTAAAATAAATAATTAAGTCTCTTTTTGTATGGATTATTTTTATATCTATTTAGTTTCTTGATTCTCCGCATCTTGATATCTTAGTAACACCTAATTTTCAAATATTTATCAATCGCTATGCCAATTCAGCAAATGTAAATTTATCTTAAAACTTGAAAATAAAAAAAACTTGATAAAACTAGTGAAAATCTGTGGTCAACTCCAAGATTAGATCTTGCAAATGACATGTCAAAAAAGATATTAAAGCGAGGAACTGTTGAAAAATTCGTAGCAATTGCTTTTCTTGTACAACTTCAAACAAATATGGGTTGCGCGGCAAAAATATTGAAAAAAGCTGCTATAGATTGTGGTTCAAAAAGTAGGATACAAAATCTAAGTATTCTAATAATTGAAACAAAAACATTATCAGAAATATCTTATCTGTAGATGCTTGTTAATAATGACTACTTAGCAGATGTGCGTTAAGTAAATAAAGGTAACATTTCGCGGATCACATTAACATCTAGAGCAAGATAAGATATTTAAAGGATTCCGCTCGAATGGGATAATCATAAATTGGGTTGATCGAAATCGAAGCGAGAGTCGCGTTGTTTCATACGTACGGACATAATTTCGAAGATAGATCTACATGTGTTAAATATGTATTAAATGTTATTTTAACGGTATAAGTATTGGCTGTGAATTTCGGTGATGTGGCACAGTTTGGGTTCGGTGTTTAATTAACACGATGTGGAGCATGCAGCTCGAGGCAGGCCCGGACTGATAACGGTGACTTGACCGGCCGCCCGCAGGCCCAATTGACCCACACAAAAACATATACACAAGTATGAACGTATATACGCGCACACACACACTTATATTTATTTACAACGACGCCGTTGATCAATCACAGCCGACAACCCCCATCCCGGCCGTTTAACGTCTAGAACAAGAAGTGAAAGAAGAAGGAAACACGGACGAGTGAAAGAACGAACAAGATGACGATAATGATGATGACGGTGGTCGTGGTTGTAACGAAGAATAAGAAGAAGATGTTCAAGAGTGAAAGAAGATCGAGATGGAACTGGCAGAGGAGAGAGGCTAATCTCGGTACATTAAATAACACTCACACACGAATGTGCGTTTCCTTCTCTTTTTTTTTGTTTTGATGAGAGAGACTTTATCCATCTCTAAAACATATCCTAAGAACGCTCCAGGTAAAAGGAACATCCAATCCAACGGACTCAAATAATTTATGATCAGAACTGGCTGAACAAAATAAATAAAAAAATAAAATCGAAGATACGCATCTACGTTCTTCGGAATCGTAAACGTATTTGTATGTAATACGCTTTTGCATATTCAATTTTCAAAGCAGAGATTAAACGAATAACGTTTTCACCGACTTTACGATCATTGGAATCTACATGATGATAATGATGATGATGGTACATCTTTCGAAGGTCATCTCATTTATTTATGTGGTGTAAATATTGTACAACTTCGTAGTAAGCGTGTACCCTTTGGGCAGATATTTGTACTACTTACAAACTGGTTAACCGACAACTAGTCGACGTTTATGTTTTTCATCTTTCTTCGCATTCGTAATAACAAAAAGCAAATTATGAGTATTTTTTTGCACAAGCAATAACATATTCTTGGAATCGGAACACCGTGTATTTTCATTAAGCTTTGAACAATTTCGCATATTATGTAATGTTTACATTCGAATACGCATTTATGAAAATATTTACCTTCAATTTAATACAATTTTCATTCAATTAATAATTTATAAATGACAAATTAGAATTTTGCGATCATATACGATTTGTAACTAAACAAGAAAACGTTATTTTTGTGACCTTTTATAAAATGATACAATTATAAAAATGATATATATTTATATATATAGAATATATAGAAATATAATTATTACATAATTTTCCACACATTTCCATATAAGTTGTCATAAATACTTAATTTACAATTTGACATATTCTCACTGGATTTCAATATTAAAAAAAAAAACTTAGTTTTGAAAAATATGGTTATAATATGAATATTTGTAAATTTAAATTGAAAAATGATTAAAATTCTAATGATACTAAATGAACATAAACTTAATAAAGTTTAAGAGATTAATTTGAATATTCAAGCACATTAATGTACTGTAGTACTTAAGAGAAAATTTAAAAAATAGTATATAAAATCAAGGCACTCCTCAATTCTAAATCGATGTTTTTGATGACACAAAAAATTATATATATTTCTTTGAATATAGTATAGTAGTTTTTGAAGGTATGAAATTAATTTGTAAAGTCTGAAATAGAGAAATTACAATTTGTATATAGAAATGTATTTTTTTTATATCTACAAACACATTGGAAAGTATTCAACCAGTAAAGTCAGGGCGAATGCAATTATTGTAAATATTTAGATTGGCTTGAAAACCTATGAAATGTCGTTTAATTTGTGAGGCTGTGTTTACGCGTTAATTATAAATTGCGGATCGTACATACTTACATAAACACGTAACCGAGTCTGACACGTACGGTGCGCACGATTATGTAATTACATTGTACATAAATAATCATTTATCATGAATTAGCATGCGGCACAAAGACTCTTTGACATATTAATTATTGTTCCATTTCCTGCCTTATTAAATATTCACACGTTAGCCGTTTAGTAGAAATTTCTACGCAATTAAAGATGCGGTCGTCCTTAATATAGATAGAGATAAATGCTCGTACTGTTCAGAAAATATTCTGATCGTTTCAATTACGTGTCCTTATTAAGTAATTCTATAAACGTCGTAAAAAGTGTATCACGTTTTTTTTTTCGTGTGAAGATGGGGTTACTGTTATGAGCGCAATTAGAACAATTCGTTTTATTTGTACACACACATCCGTCTTGATTAGTAGTATAGTAAATACATTTTTCCGGGTGGCTCCTATGAGTTGATGAATTGGAGTCAATGGATTCTAGTTTTTGAGTGTTTGATGAACAAACGACAAGAGGTGCGGTCTTCGTTGGCCGACTGACCTGTCCTTGCGAGAGCCTCGTTACCGTCCCACCGGGTTTATAAGATGCTTATAAGATATTACCTGTAATATAATATAAGATAGTTGATGTGATTTATAAGATATTACGCTAATACTGAGATTATTTTTGTGTTTTCAGCTGGTGCTGCTGGCTACCAGTGAGGAGATCGATGTCGTCGAAGCCATACCCAGCTCCGAGGAGATCAACGACCATGCGATAGCGAAAGACCGCGAGGACTCGGACTCTAATCCGGATCAACTAGCTTTGGAATCGGATCAGGAGAAGCCGCCGCAGAAGCAGTCCTACAATGGGCCTCCGCCTCCGCCACCCAGGAACAACATTAATCGCGTCAGCACCGGCCACCACAACATTCCCTTGCAGCATGGAAGCGGTAAACCATTTGGAATCCCGAAACCCGGTTTCGACCATAAACTCTACAATGGACCACCGCAGAAGCAGGCGATGGATAAGTACGGAACGAGTGGCGGAGAGATTTGGCCAGCCCCGGTTCCCGACATGCCGAAAATTATTTCGTTGGACGTTAAATGCGAGAAGAACCTGATGAAAGTCTACGTCGGTTTCGATAAACCATTCTACGGTATAGTCTTCAGCAAGGGGCATTACAGTAACGCGCATTGCGTGCATTTACCGGCCGGCCTCGGCAGAACATCAACGCAATTCGAGATCGGAATACACGCTTGCGGAACTTCTGGTAACACCGAGAACGGTCTTTACGGTTACGGAGCAGAATCTGGTTCTGGGACGTTCTTCGAAAACATCATCGTCATTCAGTACGATCCGCAAGTGCAGGAAGTTTGGGATCAGGCGAGGAAATTGCGCTGCACGTGGCACGACCAGTACGAGAAATCGGTAACTTTCCGTCCGTTCCCCGTTGACATGCTCGACGTGGTCAGAACCGATTTCGCCGGAGATAACGTTGGATGCTGGATGCAGATACAAGTAGGAAAGGGACCGTGGGCCTCTGAAGTTTCAGGATTAGTTAAGATTGGTCAGACGATGACCATGGTGTTAGCTATTAAAGATGACGACTCCAAATTCGATATGCTCGTGAGGAATTGCATGGCGCACGACGGTAAACGCGCTCCCATACAGTTGGTCGACCAGAAGGGTTGCGTGACTAGACAGAAACTGATGTCTCGCTTCACAAAGATCAAGAACTTCGGCGCCAGCGCCTCCGTCCTCTCCTACGCTCATTTCCAGGCCTTCAAATTCCCGGACAGCATGGAGGTACACTTCCAGTGCACCATTCAGATTTGCAGATACCAATGCCCAGATCAATGCACCGACGTTCCACCAGGAAGCATTCACGGTGGACTGCATAACAGCTTATTGGATGTATCTGCTCATAACATTGCTGAATCTGCATACGGACCACCACCACCATTACCACTGGAAGCCTTCTTGCATGGTGGAAGACCCAGGGATGAGAGGAGAGCCAGAAGAGCCGTAGACCCGAACGACCCAGAGAAAGAAGTCGGAGTGAATAGGGTGATCCGCGTCGTATCCACCGGAGATTTGACCTTCTCCTTAGACGAAAACAGCACGACATCGACGGCCCCGACCATGGTTTTCCCAGCCAAAGACGAGATTGCCAACGCCGGCCTCATCTGCATGACCACACCTGGTTTCGCCGTAGCCTTAGTCGTTTTATTAGCTATTTTAATAGTATCCTGCTTGATGTCGGCATTCTTGTGCGTCCGCCTGAGACCCTTCGGCGACGACAAAAGCCAAACCTTCGCGAAATCCTATCCAAAAGATAAGAAAATGGAAACCAAAAACTGCTTTTACTCGTAGACCAACGTGATTTTCAATATTTATTTGTTTTTGTTTTATATAGTAAAGGCTACATTCTTAATCGGAAGAAATATATCATTTATAACGCCACCCCGAATTGGCGCTCGTTATAAGTAATATTTTTCCAGAAGATCAAGCATCGTATCCAGAAATTAACAGATTCTTCAGTTTTTTGGAAGGATTTCTTCGTATTAGAAATAAGGTTACCCCTATTTAAAGAAAAAAAATAATCACACACGTATAAATGACCGCTATGTTATGTATTTTTTTGTTGTTGAACTATAAAAAATAAGTATGTGCTATCATAAAAATATTTAACACGTTAATGTAAATATACATGTTTTTCTATGTTTAAAGAAGAAAATTTTTTTGGAAATGGTTTCGGTCGGTTTTGGTTATTCAAAAATATTTTTAAAATAAAAACGAGAAAAGATATATTATGAATTTAACATGAAGAAAGAAATATATAGACTAAACGTAATTATAGTTAAGATTTAGTCCCTATTTATTTATTGATTATTTATTTGCTGATTTTTATTATTATTTATTTTTTATGAAAACAGTACTTATGTACCTGTCTTAGAATATATATATATATATATAATATGTATGTAATTTATTTATTGAAAAAAAAGATGTGTTATCAAAAGACAAGAATTCAGTACATTATTTTTTAAATATAAACAAAAAGACAGAAACATGTTTGTCGTAACAATAATTTTCTTAATTAGAAATAAACGAACCAAAAAAAAAATATAATAAAAAAAACATCAAAAAACAAACAAAACTGTGTAACAAATAATAATTTTATTTCCCTCATTGCCTAAACTCTAAATAAAAAAATCATTTATATATATTTACATTGTATAGCCTCGTATAATTTCTCTTCTTACAGGAATTACAGAAGAAAATCGTTAAAACCTATGTCAATTAAAACTAAGATAATAATAATATTAATATAAAAAAAACACACAAAACAAAATACATTGAGCAATAAAGAAATAATTAATATTGGCCGCCTATTATAAATCCTCCACCCGTAATATCTGAATTTCCTGTCACATTTATATTTATACATATTATTGCGTTAATTAATAATTCTTGGCGACATTTTCGAGACGTTTATTTTCATTTAATTGATAATACATTGAAAGTTAGATAACTAGATAAATACATTTTTTTTAAATATTTTTACACACGAATGTAATAGCAGTAGTAGCAGATTAACTAAACTTAATTGAAAAAAAATACTATACTTAACATGGATACACTTAATACTGTACACTTGCAATTAAGAGCTGCCGTAGATAGTTTAGGGAGGTAAGTAAACGGACTTATTTTTCAACGTTTTGTTTATTTATAATTATAATTCTAAATAGTTAATAATTTAAACCATCAACCAAAGCTCCAATATTGTATCCTCGTCTCGGAAAATTAAATAGACGTGGATTCTAATACAGACAACTTACATTTTACATTCCCAAGTAAAAAAAATAAACTCCCAAAATTAACTAAATTATCCGGCAGCACCTATCTATCTATCTATCAGACACTTGCAGTAGCGACTTTTAAACGAACATAATATTAATATATGTAATGTGTTTTAAATTAAATGCGAATAATTAACAGCGGAGTACGAATTCCGCTTCGTTTAGGCACTATTGACGCAAGAAGTTAGTTCGTCTTCTTGGTCAGCTTATTTTTGTATCTAGGACTCGATATACTCTTAGACGCCTAAAATTAGATTCAAAACATTAGCGTTTTGCTTATTTACAAACATAATAATTAAACAGTATAGATTTAAAAAAATAATAATAAAATTAATGTTAACGTAATTGTAGTTTAAATAAATATACAGTGAGGAAAGATATTGTTATATTTCTTTTTGGGTTAATATTTCTAAATCCATTTGAGGAGAGTTCTTGTATATTTTATTTGTTGTAGGATCGAGAATATTAAGAAGTGCGTTGATCCGACACTCAGCAGCAGAGAGCTAAGTTTTAATTAAGATATTGCAATCGCGCCCTTGTTTGTATTATTATTTTTTTTTGTTTTCGTTTCTATATTGTATGCGTATGTATTATTAATATAATAAAATAGTCTTTTGCGTATCGTTGAGCACCACGCGTTTTTAAATTGAGTTAAGTCTTTGTTTGATGTTGTTTCCGTTTGGTTTTTAATCGCGAGAGCATAGATCTTCAGTCTTGCCGTTCATGGTGTGGTGCAAGGATGGGGAATTGCCGGTGTCCACGGTTCCGTTCGTTTCCTGAGCCTGGGCTCTGGCCTTCAGGAAGCCCAGACCAACCCAATTAACGAAGGAGCTCATGACTATGGCACCGTTTCGTTGCGCTTGTTCTACCATCTGCTCTCTTTGTAATTGGTAGCGGTAGAGTAACGAGCCGGCGACCAGAGCTGAGACGACGGCCGACAATGCGACCATGACGAAGAGCACGCTGAAGCCCGGCACCGGCATGCAGATGCCGTAAACCACCTCTTCACGTATCTTCCCTTGGAACACGGTGACGGCCTCCGCTTTGTTGTCGGGACTGAACGCAAGATCCGCTTCGGAGATGACCTCGTACAATCCACTAACACCCACGTCCGCACTGCGCACTTTCCTATCCGACACGACGATCGAGCGACGTTTCCGTTTCACTTTTTCCGAAGACACGTTCTTCTCCTCCTCCTTGACCACGACCAGCGGGACGTCTTCGGAGAGGGAACGCGGCGCGCCCAACGGCATCTCCTCGTTGAAATTCCTCGGCCCGTGCGGGAACTGCTCTTGCTCCATGGTGTATGCATCCTGGACACGCGCAACAGAGAAAACCAAGTTGTTGTTACCAAAGTCGATTCTATTAATTATATAATTTACCTTATGCGGAACTGCCGTTATGTCGAGCTCCGAGTCCGTCGGCTGCTCGTCGTTGCCCTGCGACACTCTGTTCACATTCTTGTTTACGGACATCTTGATGGACGGGAAGTTGCCACCTATCGCCGCACCACCTTCGCCTTGCTGGATAATGTCGTCGTAGACTATATCGTCTACTGGATCGGGGCCGAGCAGCTGTTTATCGCCTGGCAAATGATCATCCTTCCTGTCCAACCCCAGGAAGTGGTTCAGATCGGAGACGTCGCTACCTCCGCCGCTGACTACACCGCCTCCTCCGACTGCGCCGCCTCCTTCCGGTTGCAGCTGACAGTGGTCCATGCAACCGTGTCTGCAGATCTCCACCTTGCACCTGATGTAGACGCTGAGGGCGTCGGGGAACTTGAAGGCGTGGAAGAATGCGTACGTTATAACTGAGGCCCGTTCATCGGCTCCCTTAACCTTCAAGAAACGGCTGATCATCTTTGGCCTCAGAACACAACCGTACTCATCCGACAATTGAATGACGTGACCGCCTCCATCCGACGCCACGCACGACTTCACCCTCATATCAAATTCACCTAACAAATAAAAAATATATATGAAATACCATAAACAAAACCAAAACACATATTACTATTATTTCATTTCATTCAAATGAGCGTTCGTAATTATGTAAGTTCATTGTTTTATAACATTTTTTTTTGGAAATAAAGTAGAAAATTTCATTACATGAAGTTACCCCTCATATAACACGATACTCTCGTGTAGTTTGAAAGCTTGCTATGTTGGACCAAGATGCATAATTATTTTAAAATTATAGAATTAGTTTTATTTCTGTAATCTACTGCGTTGAACCATACATTCAAAATATTTAAAAATTGATAATTTTGATTACTACAAAAATCAAACCTTCTATACTTTTAAATTATTGGATGAAACAAAAATTCCATGAGCAGAAACTTTAAAATTTCATACAAGCATCGAATCAAAATTTGGTAATTTTGATAAACTGCCATAATTGAAAGTTTCACAACCATATTTCGCAGGACTTTGGACTTCACTAACTGTATGTAATAGGATACTTCTTTTTATAGATAGTTTCAGATGAGATATACTATCATTATTTCTTTTATTATATTTGAAAATAGCTTTAATGCATTAAATACCCCGTAAATCTTTGTTTACCAAGACTACTGCTCTAAATACTGTATACTGTTTAAGATGACTTCATCGCCGAAATAGAGTTGTGCAGTAAAATTTATTGATCGTATAAGTCACGAGTCTGCTATTTTCAATTATAAACATTTCTTACTTTAAATATGTATCTTAGAATTGAAATTGTAATTGTTATAAATTGAATTATTGATTTTTCGGAGAAGTTTGTAACAAATCGTTTCAGCGGATGCGTTCTCTATAAATATCGTACATAAAACATGGACAGAGATCGACCGTGTACACGGCTACACTAATGGAAACTTCCTTAGAATGAATCACCGAGCAGCGATCCCGTCTTGAAATTAATTGTTCCGATTTGCGATTAAACATTTCCGTTCTGATGGTATTTGTTTCTCGAAACAGACATTTATGATGGTCAGATAAGAATAATTTACATTCGCAGTAAATCTTCACGAGAAACAACTCTTCGTGTTTTTTTCACTTTATTGTTGTTAATTTGAAATAATATTCGCGATGAAATGATATACGAATGCAGATAAAAGTTCAAACAAAAGTTTTTATTTTACCGTTTCCCCATCGAACATTTAATGGTAGTAGCGCAAATAGAGTGTTTTTGCATGGTCAATTTCACTGTAATTATTTCTGCGCCGAAGAAATCAAAACGTTGAAAAAGGAAAACGAACAAATAGGCAATAAACTGTTTACTATGTATACTAGTTGTTAGGACCAAATGGATATGCAAAGCAGTACTAATGTGAATCCATATTAATATACATTTATGTATTGAGTAATAGATGCTACTCAGTGTATGGAGAATATATTATGTTCAATAGTGGTATGTACTATATGTTCTAAATTACAGTGAATTTATCTGTATTTGTAATAATTTACAATTGAAATATTTAAATGAAAATTTACGAATCATGTTTTCAATCTCAATATAATTTAAAATATCAAGAATTAATTTGTTAGAAGAAATATAACTTTTCCAAAATATGAAATATTTGTAATAAATGGAGAATTTTTCATCAAAATATATAAATTTCATTATTTTTTAGGTACGTTTTAATTTAATTTACATTTTCTTTACAGTAATCTTTTATTTAAAGTGAATTCGCTCTAACATAATTGACAAAATGTAAATTTTGAATAATCATACATTCCAGATGTTATTACAATTAAATTGTATTTGTATAAATTCTGGAATTCCCCAATTTAATTGTTATTTGAGCATTAATATGTGAATCTAGATACATTTTCAAATTGAATTAAAAAATACCGATATGTTTAAAAAAAAATACTGTATTTATTTAGTTGATTATTTTTTAATAAATATTAGTTCCTATCTTAATGCCTCTATAAAACGTGGTATTTCAGAATTTATTACTGCCCAAAGCCTTATAAAACATTGATAGGGTCACCCTATTGACGGCGCTTATTGCTTAACTATAATAAATTGTCAAATTTGAAGTGGACATTCTTAGGACGCCACCCGGTGTTTTCTTCTTTCGAATATTCTAATTAATTTTAATTATCTGCGTGAGCAGTTACTCCTTGGTCCACGAATACCGGTGGTCTGAGGATGTTGTGTAACAAGAATGAAAATGTGCGTCACCTACCTCTATCATCATTTATACCAATGACAAGAGTCAGCGTGGAGCCGAGCGGAACGATCCCACTGACCGGCGGTGCCCAAGGCCCTTTGCCATGCTGTATTTCCATCCAACAGTCCACGTTGTCACCTGCAAGAACAGAAACAGAAAGAAATAAGAAAGAAGTATAAACAAAAAAAAGAAGCAACAAGCACCGCTACAATCGAGCCTGCACAAAATACGCAATTAGAATGCGAAATGCGAACCTCTGAAGTCCAATTGAATCACATCCAAATCCGCTATCACCATCGGTGGCTTCGAGGCGGTCTTCTCGTAATCATTAAACCATTCACATCTTAATCGCTTGGCCTCGTCCCACACCTCCAGCAGGTCTTTATCATATTGAACAACAACGGTGTTCTCGTAGAACTGGCCATGCAGATCCGGTTTAGTGCCGCATCGGGCGTACGCAATGCGGAATGAGAAGAACGTCTGTCCCGTGGACGGCGGCACGTACACGCATCTGGGATCCCCGTGCTGACCCTTCGACGAGACGATACCTTCGAAGGGATGGGTGAAGGTGAGGTGGACGTCCATATGGTCCTTGCCGCACATCACGTCCAGAGCGTGGATGGAAGGCATCCCCTCGGGCCTCTCGACCGGCCACAAATCGCTCGCCGACGATGCATTTATCACCTAACAAACAGGAAACAAACAAAAAAAACGCTATAAATATAAAATCCATCATAGGAGCACGCGCAAGGTCAACATTAACAAATTGAATAATGCCTTTCATTATTTATATTATAATGATCGGGGCCGGTGGCCTCTCTCTATTACACTCCGGTTTTCGTCAATGACAAATTAACTGCGAAATATTATTCATATTTTCTAGCAAAACCGCCTGAGACAGCGTGGCGACTCGCCTCGACAGCAAAACAGCGTAACCTGAATTAAAACCCACCTTGTTCTGCTTTATTTTATTTTTTCATCTTTCGTTTCGCCTTCTTATTTTGTTACTATTATTCTTGTTTTTTTTATAACGTCGCAATTAATGACAGACATTAAACATGAATTAGGAACCGGAGATTATTTGAAATAATTGTGAAATCTTTGCATTCTTCGCTAAGCGCGCACCGTTAGAGTCAGTTGTTCGTTTGACCGTTGACCCAGGTTATCTTGAAAAAATACTCTTAATCAATAATTTTCTACTTGTTTGGAAGATGAGAACAAGAAGAGAATGAATGAAATGCGAAGAAGATACATTTAGTTTTCACTTCCAATAGGTTTAGTGGTTTATTGTATATTAAAGTTCGGATCACATCTAATTTAAGTTAAATATCAAAACCTTCTCACGGCATTAAATATTAAGAACATTTCTTTAACGAACAATACATTAATAAAATTAATAGTGATAATATTTATTGCAAGGAAATATCAGTAAAACAATATCAGAAAATACTTCAAGAGTGTGAGACTAATGCAATAGGTTATTGACCTCAGATCTTTCTGCCAAATTTATAAAATTTACTATATAAATCAAATCAATGATGATATTATTCTACAATGATACAAAGAAGACCAATCTGCAAATAGTATGAAAATAATAATAGCAATCATATTATTTTTACATATTTTTCTTAAACTGGTTTTATGACTGAGATATGAATTAGAGTATTATGACATTATTTTCAATAAAACATAACAAAAAATAATAATTTGATTAAGAACATCAGCATGTTGACACAAAATCATTTTAGGTATAAACCGGGAATATTACCAAATACTAGAAAAATATTCTTGAGATTATATCAAAATTACATTAAAGAAGATGAATGCGATGATGATAGTGGTGTGAGCATGAGTGAAGATTGTGGTGAATATATAAATATCTTCAAAAATCTTAATAAGTGACTTTGACACTAAAAAAAAAGGACAAAAAAGGCAAGTGAGAGATTTTTTTTATATTTCTGTCAATTTTGTGTGCAAAATAAGCGCATGATTGAGAAATCTCAAATACATCTTACAAATACATCTATAGTAGTTTTTTTTGCTTTTTAAAATCACATTGTACTAGGAGAAAAACACGAAATAAATTAATGATTCGTTTTTCTTTATGGTTTTCTATGGAGTCATTTCTATTTTGATATTTTTTTATAGTTTTATGTGATAGTCTACAATTTTTAACAATTTTATTTTATTATATTTTTGGAATTTTATAAATAATAAACAAATTAAAATGTTTGAAAATAAGTTGCAAAAATTTCTTATCTCCATTTTTTTCTAAAAAGTCGAATACCGATAATATTTAAAAATCATTAATAAAATTTACCTGAAACAATAAATTAAGAATTTACTTTACAATAATAGAAAAAAACAAAGTTAAACTGTAATTACTTTGACCTTACTTTTATTAATAAACAACACAGTCTATAATGTAGACATATTGATTATTATAATTCATAATAAAACTAAAGATTCTCATATTAAGAACTTAACAAAACATTAGTAAAAGTGATTGCAATAGAAATTATTAAATAATATTTTTATATTTTCAATAATTAAGTAAAATGATATCAATCATATTTATAATTTATATTATTTAAATTTAATAAATACTCATTCCTTAATGTAATAAATCTTGACAATTCTATATTCACTGTAATGCAACAATGATTGGACACGTAAATAGCTGAATGATCGATAATCCGATGATTGCTTTGCCAATATCGACTCGACTACTTGAGCACTATCATCTCCAGCGAAATAAGATCATGACCGATTACTGTTCCCCAAGCTGCGTTCACTGAATAAATAATATTAGCATGCTGCGTGACTTATGGTCTCTTGCAAAGTCAAAAGGCCAACGTTTCCACGTTTCCGAAACGATAATTTCAACTCCTCGATTAAATTTATGGTGTTATTGTCTGTAATTAAATTACACACATTTTATTTTCTTCGCCTATCCAAATTTCATCGAGCCATTTTTCCCACGGACTTCGATAGCAGACACATCTATAGTTTTCAGACAACTACAGGAAGTAGTGTTTATGTTTTTTTCCCTAGTGACCATTTATATTGGCGCGTTAAACAGGTAAACAAAAATGTTCGCGCAAGATGCATTAACAAGCAAATAACCAGACCTCATAAAGCAAACCAAGTGGACGCAAAGTACAAGAGAGAGAAAAAAAAACTGTTTGCGCCATCGCACGCCACTTGTTTTCTTAAACGAAAATCTACTGTCTGTTGCTTTACAGTTTCTTCTTGCATTCCGCATAAATATTGTGAATAATTTGCTTAAAATCATTTTGCATTCAACAAAGTCGCATTCCGTTCCGTTCTCGGAATAACAATGAACTGCGAATTGCTACACAATGATATAATGGTGTAAACTGAATCGCCGTTCGCAATTGTTGCTGTATTAATTGTTATGCTGCGAAGCGTAAGTATATTTTTTTCTTTCCTTTGAACGTCTTCGTATATATTTTTGTTGTTGTTCTACAGCGTTCAACTACTGCTGGGTTGTTATTACTATTGCCAGCATTAGATACTACTGAGCTGTGGTGATAATAAGTCGTGTTAAGTGCTATCTTTAGTTTTCATTGAGGTAATTTCATTTAGAAAGTCATAGAATTTCACATCATTCATTCGCAGCAGGAAAATCGTAATCTCTACTAAATAGGCAGCAGCATATGCAATATTATTATACATTACGCATTTACATATGAAAAATACGCATGAAATTTAAATGCAATAAAATATAAATCTCATTCCCATTTGTAGTACTAATAACAATAAACTACTACTAAGATTACTTCTTAAGATTAATGATAATTTTAGTTAAAAATTTCAAACGAAGAGTTTAAGTATATTTTTTTCTACTAGGATATTATTACGAATTAAATTTCATTACATTTCGTTATTTTTTAATATGGGAAGTACAGTTTTGCTTCTACAAACTTATATATTGAAAAAAAAAGAAATTAAAATATATTATTGCAATTAAAATTTAAATAATAAATGATAGTAATAAGCAAAATAAATTGCAGATCATATCATAACAATGATGAACATTTACTACAATAACCAAAATATTACATAAATAATATCAAACAAAAAAAATAAAAAACTTCTAGAATTATAATATTTTATACAAAAAATACTTAACATAACTTTTGCATTTTTAGAGAAAACAATATATTTTTGTTTCTTCAATATTCGACTTTAATTATAATTCGTTTTATAAGTACTTGTAAGTTTTTTTAGAACTGTTCAAATTATTGCATTTCTTTTAACACTAATACTTTTCCATAATTACTCTTTGATTTCGAAGAGAAAATAAGGAATGAATCCAAAACTGTACCGTTTAGAATATGTTTTCAGTTTATTTGCTAATTCATTTAACTCTATTTGTATTAGTATATACATTAAGCTATAACGCGGTTTGCTGGATATCTTAAATAAGCTCAAAATTTAGCTGAATTCAAATTATCGCGGTATTTCATTGATTCGTATATAATACGATTAGTATCGAACACGTAGGGAAGATTTAGGGGAAGAACAACTAAATTTATACTTGTTTGAGATGTAGATGAGCAGGATATTAAGGAGTTGCCTTATCAACAACGACCTTCAAGAACAGTCAGAACAAGGAGTTGAAGAACGCGAAAATAGTGATTCTGAAGTTGATGAACTAAAAGAATGCCATAGATAATCTTTGAAAACGATTAGAAAAGATCGTTGACCGAAATCGTTGATCAAATTGTAGCAAATTATCCAAATTTTGAAAGGAGTGCAAAAGCAAGAACATTTGCTTATTGAAAGAAAACGATAAATGACTATAGATAATATTATCTTTTATTTGCAATCATGGATTAATAAAATTTTGAAGCAATAAATTAGTTCTCTTGGTTATTATTCTAATAAATAAAATAAACCATGAATAATTTGATCTAAATTCAAAATATTTCTTTAAGTTAATAAATTTATAAAAGAATAATTTAATTAAATAAAGATTTATTATAACTTCTTCCTGAATCTATTATTAGAATGTTTATACTTATACAAATCGTGCGTGAGTTCAATTTAAAACTCATTTAATATGCAGCCTGCGCGTCTCGCGAAAAATAATTATTTTTAATTGCTATGACTAACATCTCAAATGATGATTGTGTCAGTTGTGAAATTTCAACACGTTTTTTTCTTGTTCTTTTTTTTTCGTGCGTGCACACGTATGATTGATTATAATAATTAAGTTAAGTATCCGCTGCCAAAAGCACAGAATCCTTCGCCAAGAGGATGCTCGAACATCTGTTCAATTGGACCATGCCAACATTATAATAATCATCATAATTCCGACCCAAAAATGTTCACTTTGAACAATATTTTTTATTTTTTTGGCATTGCCGGCAGTTCTCTCTCATTGGAAGCTATATTTACCAAATAATTTTAAATTATTACCGAGAATAAAATAACTATATTACATAATTTCTGTAAGTACGTCTCAAAAACTACGCAAAGTGAAGTAATTATATTTCTTGAAAATTTACAGTTAATATTTTCTGCAGTTTTTTCATTTTTTGTATAACAATTACAGTTTTTTCTTAGAATTAATAAGTTTTGTATATACTTTTGTCATGAAATCTAGATGCAAATTTGAATCTTTTATAATGAAGATAATGTTTTTAGTTTGCGAT